TGTTGACTTCATCCCTGAGCCCGATGCTGCTTCAATGACAGATGCCACGAATGGACAGCAGCAGGTCACGACGAAAACCGTGGCGACAACAGTCACTCATAGCCAACCTTGTGCTCAAGCTGACCCCAAACCAGTATCAATTGTTCCCGCGTTGGATTTCCAGAGAGGCCAAAGCCCAGCGAAGACACCAAACACGACCGCAACAACACAAGTGCAGCCTCATATCCACACCCACGCTCACCATCACACTCCTCACCCTAGTCCGGTCGCATCTCTTTCCCAAATTCCAGCTCATACCCCGGCGCATGCTTCCGCCCATGGCACGACTCAAGCTGGCTCCTGTGGCGATCGTCCTGCGTCAGGAGCCAAAGGACCTTGTCGGCAATGTTTAGAGGCGAGGTTGCGGCAACAAGCAGCGAGCCAGGCAGCTCAGGCAGCAAACCTGACTGCCGCAGCCGCGATGCCTTCGACCGCCAATGTTCTAGGAGCAGCGCAAACTTCCATGCCATCTTCCACAATCCAGCAACACTGGCCACATATGCTCGGCATCAACCCCTACGCCAACCCGATGGCTGGCGCCATGTACGGCCCGCTGCTGCAACAGTCAATGATGGCGGGCCCAAACGGCACTTTCGCTCTCCCGCAACAACAATATTCCCACGGCATTCCAGCCCAGCAGCCAGCCGGGCACATGCTTCCCATGGCGCCCACGTCAACACAGCCGGTCGCTCCGACCTTCTCTTCCGGACAGAGGAATCCTTACCTGCAAACACCCATACCCGCAAACACGGGTAAATCCGCCGCCCCAAAGGCAACGGACCCGCCGCAGCTTACCACCAAACACATCATTGTCGACATCGCCGACACCTGTCTGAAGGTGTTCCCCTTCGAAGAGGTGGCGAAACGGCACAACCAGCCAGAGCAAAAAGTCAGAGACATCTTCGGAGCGGTCATTCAGGTCCCGCTGCTGCGGTGCAACACTGACAAGAGGAGGGCCGGCAAGCTGGGCACGGCACGCGTCAAGGAGTTCAACCAGGCGAAGAAGGACGCGCAGGCGCAGGCCAGCGCGAACCAGTCAAAGCAGGACGCCATGGGTCAGAGTCCTTACATGCCATCGGCATGGGAGATGGCGCAGTTTATGGGGCCAAGCGACGTACGACTAGGTATGTTCAACAACCAGTTCACCGGGCCTTGGTAACGGGGATACTGTGAGTACGGAGCGTCAAGACATGGCATCAAAAGGGAGCAAGGCGTTTCTGATTCTTCATTCGGCGGTTTTGTGACTTTTGTATCTATACCCAGTCCGCAATTCATTCAGCTTCTGCTACTTGATTCCAAGCCGCCAGCACCATCATTTTGTGCATTATTGCCGGTTTCTCCCTCTGGTTCGGGCCACTTGACATCGCCAAGCGGCTCTTCGCGCGTCAAGCTTACAGTGAAGTTCCGCAGCCGCGATAGACGGGTATGCGCAATCATAGCGCGGTGCAGACGCAGCATTTCCTCGCCGTTACCATCGTTCTTCGCCCGGCGATAGTCAGCCATCAGGATAGCATGTTCAGCCTCGTGCAGAGCGCGGTTTTCGCGGAGGTGCATGGGCCGGTGGCACGCGGCGCAGCTGTCGTCGATGAAGGCGGGCTGCCAGAGCTCGCCTTTGCAGTCGGCCCCCTTGCCGCAGTCTCGGAGGCGGGAACGGAGGGTGTGACCGCAGGACATTGTGGTTTCTGTTCCCTCGCACATTGTGTCCGTTTGCAGTGTGGAATACTTACCGAGCAGCCTTTTTCGCCTTGTGCGTGATTGAGAGGGTTGTATACCTGCGATACTGACTCTTCTGCATTTCGAGACGGTGCCTATTTATGAATGGCATCCTGTCTTTATTTCATTCTCGTTCAAGATGTTTCTGGGCGGTATTGGCGACGTTGTTCTTGTCTCATCGATATGTTCCATAGTTGGAACCGTCAATCTTGTAACGGCGCTCTTTGTTCGGCTGCGACTCATCCGCATTGTTCGTCAACGGCCAGTGTGTTCATTGTCCTTGGAAATGATCGAGACTTCTATTCCATGAAGCTGATCTATGGACAATGCTTCCGACTGTATCTCGATCCAGTACTGCCCCCCGTCTGCTACAGATGGTGATTCGAAAAGAGAAGCCACATCGTCTCGATTCGTGTATACCCGTCCGCACATCGCTCTCCCGACGATCCTGACGGGGAGATAGGATGCTTGACAGGCTCTTGCTTATCGACGAATGGGAAGTCTTGCCGAAGAGCTGTTGTCGAATTTGCCCACCAATCGGGCTGTTGGAGCAGCAGAACAGAGAACGGCTCCGGCTCTAGAGCCGCCGGGCCGCCTGGCGCATACGAAGCGGCAGAACACATATTGACCTCAGCGGCCGCAATGGCAAAATAGTATGTAAGAACAGGTTGGTGAAGCTGGCCTCGACGGTTTCAGGAATGCTCGTCGCCAAATGCAAGGTGATTGTCACACCCCCCTTGAGGGCCCGATGTTGTCATTCTTCTTCCCGCAGCGGGCATCCCACGTGCGGAAAGCCGTTGGACGCAAGGTGCGAGGTATGGGCTGTCTCGCTGTCTGATAGCGAGCGAGGAATGTAGCATGGGCAAGCCGCGTGTCGGACGGCATGCATCCGGGGCGGAATGAAGTCAGAACTCACCGTTTTTGGTCCTTGCGGTTTCAAACGGCGGGGAGTGAGTCTAAGGAGATCGGCCTTTGGTGCAGGTTGGAAGGTGTGATGACGGGCGATGCAGGTGTAGCGGCGATGATCTGTTGAGTGGTGCTAAGTGAGGAGTCTGCTCGCTTGGAAGTGCTGTTTTCTGCAGCCCGTATTGAGATGTGACCATGTCATTCCAATGTCATTCAAACAATATATGTAACCGTTTTGGCAATGGTAAACATCCGGATCCGGCTCGTGGTCGGCTGTCGTTGCCGGGTCCGAGGGGACGGGAGTGGGTTTTCCTGCTGGTCATCCGCGCCGTGTCTTTCTGGAACGGGGCCGAAGTCCGGGGTAATGTTTCTTCTTCTCTGTTGGCTACGTCTCTTTTGACACGATTCTGTTCATGATACCTTACCAAGTGCTTGGTTTGGAAGTATCAGGAGTGGAGTGCTCTAAGTGCGACGTTGTTGTCCCCACGGGGTAGCAGAGTCATGGCTGTAGGGTTTAACCCGATCGACCTGAGTATGTGTCCACTCACACTATCATTCGGGCCCAAGGTAACGTTCCCATAACATAAGGTAGTCATTCAAATAAAATGTCTCCTTAATACGCGGCACGTTCCCCTGAAGTCATCGCGAAATCGCAACGATCCTCTTCCTCTTCTCCGGCCACCAGACATTGGATTTCCCGTTCTCGACATCTCTTATCTTTTGGAGACCGCAGACAACCGACCCAGAAGGCCCGCACTTTCCCAATGGAAAAATCAACCTGAGAAAACTGATGCCTGGACCCACCCACCGCGAACCGCACCTTCCACACCTCGGTGAGGACCTTTTCATCCCAACTCAGATTCACCTTTGTTGTCTTCCCCTCAGGCCAACACCCGCCAACCTTGACGGATCTTTTCACCCATCACGGCCCCAGGCCTCCCAAGTGAGAGCCCAGAGCTACTTATTCGAAAAAGGACAGCTTCTCCATCACCACAGGTTCAGCATTGATGCGAGCCACTTGGCTCAGTTGGTCAAAGCGGAACACTTCCCTCTTCCCCTTATCCGCATATGAGGATCACAAGTACCACCGTTCGAGTCCTCATTATCCTGTGGTTCGGCAAACTCGGGTGGCGCGGGTTGTGTTACCAAGTAACACAATGAGCGTTGAATAGTTTTTTTTCTTCTTTCGATCTTTTGAATGTGTCTTTTTCGCGTGGCGGCTCAGTTGAAAAAATGAGGCCTGCGTCGCGAGCTTTCGTGATATGTTTTGGTGGTTGATGTGAGAGTTGTCGCGATGCCCCACTTTTGTGTAAGTAACCTAGAAGGCAGGAGCGCTCAGCGCTGATGTAATGAGCCTGCTTTCTTTCGCCTTGCAATCTGGGGGTTGCATAAGCGAGTGATAATCTTCTAATTGAGTACCTTATATTTCTTGAGTCTTGCGCGGAGGCATTGCAATAACAGTATGTTCCTATCTTGCTCCGTGATGTCAAAGTCGGAGCGCCTCAATGGTTGATCCGGTAACGCCACCGACGGGACCGTCTCATGTTGTAAGGTGTCAACGACCACTCCAATTATCTCTACCAACTCAATCAAGGCAATTCATTGCGGAGTCAACAACTCTCAAGCAAAAGCAACCACACATTCGCAGTCGTCAACGGCACACTTGACGACGGACGTCATGTCGTTACCACCACCACCACCAAGCCTCAATGTCACGTTCCATCGGTGAGCAAAGCGGCATGCAACACCGGGCACCGTGCGGAGCCTCAACTTCAGGGACCCTCCCTCCTTTGGTGTTTTTTTCTCGCGCCCATTCCCACCGGAAACTGCGCTCGTCCCTTGCAGCGGGTGGCACCGCTCGACGGGGTAGACCCAGTTTCCCGGGATCAATGGCTGGGTGCCCGACGAATCATGAAGGCGAATTGGGACCTCAGCTCACCCGCACAGATCCCTGGTTGAAGATCGGATTGTGCGGAGAAAAACACGAACGCACCCGCAGCTTATCTCTGCTGCTGCTGAGAAAGATTTTCCCCGCTGTGACCGTGCTGAATGGTGTAAGAAAAAAGGGGGCCGGGTGGTTAGTGGTTGGTGGTGGTCGCGTGTTCTCCCGAGGGAAACTCTGCTGTCGAGAGAGATAGGGGTGGACCGTGGAACGTCAATTCCGACTTCAACGTTGCTGTTTCGTGCCATCTGTCTATCTGTCTTGGAGTTGATGTTTGAGAATGACTGTTGGAGCGTTGCGGTGATCTCTTGAGCATTTATCTACCTTCTCTCACGCGCCGGCGATTGCGTTCCCTGACAAGGACTCGATCAGTCGATTTCAGTGAAGGAGATTCAACAACATGAGCGGCGAAGACCAAGTTTCCGTGGCGACGCCACACGAAGTCGAGAGCAATGATGATGTCGAAAACAAGGAATCATCAGCTCTGATGAGACTCTACTCCCATCCATGGACACAGTGAGTTGGCAGCAATCAAGTCATCCTTGACCAGCCCTAATTTGTGCTGCAGGATCCTCCTCATTAGCTTCATCTGCTTCTGCATGCCAGGCGTAAGTCTTAACAACAGGCATTGAGAGGCGTATATGCTGATTGTGTAGATGTTCAATGCGCTCTCAGGCCTGGGAGGCTCGGGCCAAGTCGACTCGACCGTCGCCGCCAACGCCAACGTTGCTCTCCTCTCGACCACCGCAGTAGCCGCCCTCTTCATCGTTGGTCCCATCTTCTCCTTTGTCGGTCCCAAGATCTGCTTCCTGATGGGCGGCTGGACCTACGCCTTGTACAGCGGAAGTCTCCTCAGCTTCAACCGTAAGCCAGCTACTTCCCGAACCCCTCAACACCCGCTGACCATCCCAGACAACGCAAACGGCGCCTTCGTCATCGCCGCCGGTGCGGTTCTCGGCATCGGCTCCTCCTTCATCTGGATCGTTCAAGGCGCCATCATGACGACCTACGTCCACGAATCCCAAAAGGGCCGCGCCATCGCCGTCTTCTGGATCATCTTCAACCTCGGCGGCGGCGTCGGCTCCCTCGCCGCCTTCGGCCTCAACTTCCACTCCACGACAGGCACTGTCAACGACGCCACGTACATTGCGCTGATGACCATAATGCTCGTCGGCTGGGTCCTGGGGCTCTTCATCTGCTCGCCGAAGCGCATCCGCCTGGCGCAGCTGCATGCCGCCACCGAGACGGAGAAGCAGAGCTTGAAGGGCATGTTGGAGATGTCTGTGGCGACGCTGTGTAATTGGAGGGTGCTGTGCATGCTGCCGCTGTTTTTCTGCGCCAACGTGTTCTACTCCTACCAGCAGAATGATGTGAACGGTATGACGTTCAATATCAGGACCAGGTCGCTGAACGGAGCGCTGTACTGGTTCGCGCAGATGGTTGGTGGGCTTGTCATTGGTGTTCTTCTCGATCTGCCTATGCTTGAGCGTCCCGGACGTGCTAGACTCGGCTGGGTTTTGTTGTTCGTCACTGGTATGGCGATCTGGGGTGGTGGATACGCTTTCCAGAAATGGCAGGATGCTCGTCACGCCCAGGGTCTTATCCAGGATATCGACTACACGCAGGGCTCCCTCTCTACTGGACCGATCTTCCTCTATATCTTCTACGGCGCTTACGATTCTCTGTGGCAGTCCTACTGCTACTGGCTTATGGGAACGCAATCCAACTCCCCAGGTCGAGCTGCTGTTCTCGTCGGTGCGTACAAGGCGTTTCAAGCAGCTGGAGGGGCGATGGCGTGGAGGATTAATGCCCAGAATGCGAGTGCCATGACGCAGCTCGCCATGAACTGGGGGTTGAGCATCGGATCTCTGATTCTGGCGTTGCCGACTGTGTTGACGGTCACCAAGAGCACGAGTGTTCTCGAGGAGGCCGGTGGGGAGGTTCCTCAGGAGAAGGCAGAGGAGAAGATGGTCGAGGATTCATGAATACAGCCACTCAACGAAGAAGACGAGCCATGAGGCAAAATCACAGCGGAGACAACTGTCCATAATATTAAACGGGTTGCGAGATTATGAGTACATCTCGTGACGCAACTTGAGAATTAGCTACACTATTTATAGGTCACCTTTTGGTAGCCCGTTAGTGCTGTCAGCGTCAATAGGAACGTAGACGGTGTAATTGAGAAATATCCCGACGCTTTAGATCAGAGGCCGTATCGTAGTTCTGAATTCGTAGGTCGTAGGCTGCAGTATACTAGAAATCGGCGGCACCGAGTCATTGCTTATTTCAACATCCAAACCTCGTGTCTTCTCTCCTTCTGGCGCAGTGTTGTCGGCCACAACAGCCGCAGCAGACGCTCCAGCAGCGGCAACCGCAATTCCCGCGGCAATCTTAACTACATGATCATCCTCTGTTGCCAGTTTCCAGCATTCCTGGCTCTGACATCTTGGATAAATTGTGATACAAACCAGACGCTGAATGATGTTTTAGTCCTCTCGTGCAGACTTCAAGCAAACACTCCTTAACATAGTTTCCAGATGGACCATCAATCAGGTGGACCATCTAGCGAGCTGCCAATTGAAGTCTTCAAGTCGCCATCGGACTTCGTACTGAACATGGTAGACAGAAACCAGGGTATTCAATATCTAATGAAAAATGCAAAGATAAATGGTATTTATACGTTTCAGAATAGGACACACCGCTTGCAACGCCTTATTGTTTGTCCATGCCGTCCACCTCGAAACGTGACCCGGATGATAGAGACATCGATACGTACGCTGACTCGTCATCGCTCAATGGAAAGGCTCGAAAATCCATTGCCGTGTTGTGTTGAACGGATATCGTATTGCCGCCAAAGTTAATCGTCCCGAAGAAATCATCAGCTACCGGCTGCTCTTGGAATGATTGTCCATCTGGCAGGCCAAACAGTAGACCATTGAAGTCGACCAGTTCTTCCTCCACGTAGGGCGGAGGCCTTAGTGCTTCGAGCTGGCCACCAAACACCAAATGGTTGTCAGTAGATGAAGATGCCGTTCCTGCCACTAAAGTCGTGGGATCTTCATCGTGGCCTTGTTCGATTCTCATGGTTGAGTTGGTAGGCTCAGACACGAAGCTTTGGAACAGCGCCAGCTGAGCGTCCCTGACAATGTCAACGATTTGACTTTTCAGGTTCTCTTCCAGCGGTTCGAGGGCCTGATCGATCCGAATTTCCAGCTCTTGTCGAACTCTTCTAGGTAGCTCCCGCCGCAAGTATCTCTCATACCGATCGAAAGCGGATTCTGCTTCCCTAGTGCTTGCGTTGCCTCCAAAGTCAAGATCTATCACGTTAGCCTAAGAACTGACGCAAGAGCGGGCAAACTTACAAGGGCTTGGTATGTCCTCTGGGCCAGTATCGGGGAACAAGATGAGATACACATCCCGCCATTTGTCCGCTTCAGTGAGATGCTTGGTTCTCTTACTACGCTTTCGCAGCAGCTTCTCTTGGGTCGAGTTAAAACCTTCAAGTTGTGGCTGGTCCTTGATTTCGCATCTCTCATCTGCGATAAGATGGCTGTCTCGAAGTGAAATGTTCTCAAATTGTCCATGGCAGCGTGGGCAGGTGATGGGCAAGGCGTGGCATCTGTAGATGTGTTCCCTGGGCTAGTGTTAGTCTAACCATACCGATCGTCATAAGAAGGAAATGCTTACTTAACGCGGTGAACGGTGTTCCAACCTGGACCGGGACACGATCGCCACTTTGAAGTGCAATACCGTTGCGGGGTCTTCTTGAAGTAGGGACACGCAAGCCTCGCCGTTTCCTCATGTTCAGATGTTTCCAAGCGGGCTCTTTTCTGGCCATCGCCGCCTCCTGATGGCTCGTCATCCAGTGCATCTGGATGTCTTTTGCTATCTGTTCTGCCGAAAGAGCTTGAATTGGAGGAAGTAGTGCCATCCGATATTCGTCTTGAAGTTGGCCTCCAGTTGCTTTGGCTGTAGTCGTCAGGGATACGGTCGATTGGCGGAAATGGTAGGCTTGGGGACACCGCAAAATAGAAATACTGCATCAAACGTTCGACAAGTATCCGTTTTGATCTTTCCATGCAAATCGAGCCACTCTCATCCGATGAAGAGCTCGATGAAGAGCCTGATGAAGATCCCGACTCAAACATACTGTCAGAGCTTTCATGGTAATCCGAAGTTGAAGCAGCCTCTGATTGTGGGGGTTCACTCAGAAAGCCTCTGTTGGTACCAGGGAGAAACTTTTGGTTCATTGGTGTTGAAGTCGTTTCCGGAGTCTTGGAGGAGCCACAAGCTTCAGCAACTGATACGCCATGTTCTTCGGGGCTCTTTGCTGAGCTTGATGGTGCCCCAGAGTATGAAACGTTTTCGGAGGTATTGGGGGGATTAAGCTGCAACTCTGAGTTTGCACCCGTCCGCGAAACCTCGGAACGCTGCGGTTGGGTGATCAACGGTTTGGATTCCACCAGAACCTTCTGCTTGTGACCGTCAGCTCTTGTTCGGAGCAAAGACTTTTGAGATCACTCGGTCGACTCACATCTTGAGCATTGGCTCCTCTACCTGCGTCTGCGTCATGCGCTTTCCCGGTTTTCTGGATGTCTTTGACTGGTGAAGGGAGAATGAATCTTTCGGTGGCAATGTCGTGTACAAGGGGGAGCGGGAAGTCGATGGCGTCAGACTGATGCTGTGATATGCTTTGGGACAAGGTAGTATCGCCGACTTCGGGGAACGAAGATGCCGTGTCCCAAGTGTCGATAGTCCTGGAGAGGGACGGCGGAGATAGGTCAGTAAAGTTGGAAAAGCCCGAGGAAGCCAACGAGCCATTCCTTTCTGACTGAGACCAAAACCGAGGAACAGGCGGAGACAGGTTAGTGTAGTAAGAAAAGTCTGAGGAAGCGAACGGAGAGTTCCCTTCTGACTGAGACCCTGACAGAGGAATAGGCGTGGATATCGGACTCCCTCCCAACGGCGAATGTAAACCCTCTAGACATCGAGTCTCAGGCCGTGAAGTCTGCCGTTGAAGCTGCGCCTCGTCAGGTCCGAGAAAAGACGACATATAATCTTTGATGCGATCTTTTTGCCTTCTCAATCTCCCACCTGCGTCTTGGACCGGGGCGCTACATGGCTGAATGCTGAGAAAAGGGCTTCTAGTTCTCCGCGGCCGACAGCGGTCTACTAGGCCGTGAACTACCCCCATGGCTTCGTTCCTCTTGCCGCGCCAGCTGGAGGTAGACCGGCTCAGGGGAGATCCTCTAGAGTCGTCTGAAAAAGTTGAATCTCTGGCAGGATCCATGATACGAGCATGAAAATCGGGTACCGTAGCCTCGAAGTGCCGTTCTACTCCGGTGGCAAGCGATCGAAAACCGCCGGAATTGCTTCGAAAATCGCTGGGATCCATTCAAAACCACAAAAGTTTCGTCTTGAACTTCAATTGCCTGAAATCATGCGTAAGATAGGTTAACGAGTCGGTTGAAAGGGGAGCAAGCAAGAATGAAGAGTAGACACAAGGGAACCAACTGTCCGGCTGTTGCTGGTCTTTTAAATACGGCGAAGGCATCAGGCCCGCAAAGCAAGCGTCTTGCGCGTCAATGGATTACGCGTCTGCGCAGTTTTGATCTTGCAAGTCAGATATCTACGAAGATTGGCTGATTTCGAGACAAGAATGTGCAGCCTGCAGTAAACATAGTGGCCATGCAGCATCTTGGCAGCTAAGCCTCCCGAAGCCCGCCAGCTGAAGATGAGTATGGAAGTGACTTATTAATAACTGGCGCCTAGTTGTTCGAGCAAACGAATCCACATTTTGCAGACAGGTTCACGCGAAGCCACCGCGAGAATAAGCATACACGCATAGACAGAAAATGCGTATAGTGAGTCAAACTTTTGAAAATTCAACGGGCACGTAGTATCACGAACCGGTCACCTTCAGACGTCGTATTACCATCTCGAGAAAGTTCAGTAGAGCTTATCGATAAGGACATGGGAGCTTATCACCCCAAAAGGGCTTAGTGAGGGGCACCCCCACCAAAAATTTCATCTTCACCGACCAGGTCTGGCCATATGGGTGCCAGTGACGTTCTCAGACTCATCCAGCTCAAGGTACACATTTGCGACAAGTCTCAGACCGTGGCTTCAGGTACACCAAGTCAAATATCCCGACATTGAGTAATTGACCACAGACTTTCAAAATGGGCAAGAAGAGAGAAAGAGAGGAAAAGCCCGCCGACGATGTCGCCGACAGAATGGACGAGGATTCGTCCGACGATGAGGTGAGAGCGATCTCATCGGTTCTCCCTGATTTAAGGCTCACAGAACCAGGACTTCGATGTCGTCAACGTCGATTTTGAGTGGTTCAACTTCGACCCCGAGGTCGACTTCCACGGCACCAAGACCCTGTTGCGCCAACTCCTCGACGTCGATGCGACGCTCTTCAACATCTCTGGTCTCGCTGACCTGATACTGTCGCAACCCACCATCGGCTCAACCGTCAAGGTCGACAGCAAGGAGAACGACGCCTACGCTCTCATCACGGCGCTCAACATTAAGGAGCACAGCCAGAAGCCCGAAATGGCCGACCTGGCCAAGTACCTTATTCAGAAGGCGCAGACAAATGAGGCCCTGGCCCCTATCCCCAACCTCATCAATGGCGGCGCTCAGGTCGGCCTGATTCTCGGCGAGAGACTCATCAACATGCCCTCCGAGATCGCCCCACCGATGTACCGCATGCTCGTCGACGAGATCGAGGCTGCCGTCGAGGACAAGGAGCCATACGAGTTCACGCACTACCTGATCCTCTCCAAGACGTACCAGGAGATTGAGTCAACACTGACCGAGACGGAGAGGAAGGGCAAGAAGGCCAAGGCGGACGCCGCGATGTGGCACTTTCATCCTGAGGACGAGGTCTTCGTGAAGCACGCGACGGCCCACGGCTCCTTCTCTTACACCAACGACGACCAGGCCGTCGCGGATAGCAAGCGCGCATTCCAGGAGATGGGCGTCAAGTCGCACGGTTACATGATCCTGATCGAGGCGAGCAAGTGGGAGGGCGCGGTCCAGGCGGTAGAGAAGTACATGAACCCCGGCCAATAGAGGGGATAAAAATAAAAGTCATGAATCGTTTCGAGTATTTCATTTTAAAAGTCTACTCTACCGGCTCTAGTCTTTGCATCAGGTACTCTACCTCAACTTCCTTGGTCAGGGGTATCACGAAATCCTTGTACAGGGCGACCACGGAGTCGGCGTCAATCTTGGCCTGGTTCTCGGGACCCGCGCCGATGGACGGGTCGGTGCCGTAGGTGAGGCACTTGAGGCGCAGGCGCTCGAGGACCTTCTTCTCGACGGCGGCGTTGGTGATGGCGGCGCCGATGCCGTCGCGGTCCTCGGCCTTGATGAGCGCGGTGTACTTTTCCGGGTCCGACTGGAACTTGGACTCGGCGACGAACTTTCCAAAGTGTATCCTGCGCGACAGGGCCTGCAGGCAGGCAATATCGCAGGTTGCCGAGGAGCCGTAATTCTCCTGGGACTCGCCGCGGTCCTCTCGGCCGAAATCGGGGCAGAGTGCGGGGAGGAAGGTATCCACATAGAACTTCTTGATCTTGTCGTTGACGTTGACGTCGTTGGGATGCAGGATGCGCGGGTAGTGCAGGGGCTTAAGGATCTGCTTCTGGAGGGCCTCCGGGAAGAAGGGGTACTCGTCGGGAGACTCGTAGCGGCGGATGATGGACTGCAGCTTCTCCTGCTCGCGCAGGTACCAGTCCATGAAGCTCAGCTCGCTGTTGGGGATATCCAATGCGCCGGGAACGTAGATGGTCTTGTTGAGGGCGAATTGGGCTCGTTCGATGAGGTGGAAGGTGATTGTGTCCTCGAGGCGGCTGGGTTACATTGTCAGTTGTTGCCGTAGATGTTGTTTGTCGGGGAGTTTGGGTTGACATACATCAACTGGTACCGGATGCGGGACAGGTCCAGCGCCTTGGAGGGGTCCGATAAGTCGATAAGGGAGTCCATCTCGTCGTCAATTGACTGGAAACCAGAAGAGATATTGTAGACCGGGCCGTGAGGATTGTTCTGGCGCAAAATTGGCGGTTGGGGGTCTGGCTGGTGAGAGAAACGCATCCGGGCTGGTTATCGTCGAGTCACAAAATCTTGGGGTAAGATTTGCTTGGAGAGGAGCCAAGGCCGATGACGCCGGCGCAAAAGGGGAAAGGTGCCAACTGAGAAAAAAAACAAAAAAGATCTCATTCCAGCACTGCCTTCAGAGCGAACAAGGCTGTGCCAATCTCGTTGACGGGAAAAAGGACCTGCAGCACAGGCACAGGGGTCGCTTCCGGCGGGCACCAATCAGGACCCCCTGCGACATGTCAATTCCAGCAGCTGCTCGCTGTTCACTGCTCAGGAGGTCCCGTCCGGTCGCTGGAAGAAAGCCCGGACCATCCACGCTGCTCCATGGGCCATCCAGAGTGCGGGCGATGCTACCTCCAGCGTCTTGAGCGTGTTTTCGAGCCTTGTGGTCGCTAATGGAAAAGCAGCTTAGCGGATTGGAGGCAGCCACGTCGGAAGCCCGCCCAGAAGTCGGAGTGTCCACCCGACCTTGAGGTGACCTGCTGGCTGGCCTTGGAACTGGCCCAGGTCCAGCTGAGGGGGCACGCCGCACCAGAGACGGGAGAGGTGCACCTGCTACGTGCAGGGAGCTCCTCGGGTTTTAGCGCCTTCGTCATTCGCGGGCGCACACACACTGGGACACACAACTGGGCCTGGGACGGTCACAACCGACCCCAACCGGGTCATTGCCGGGATCTTGTCTGGTGTGTGGATACGTAGTCGATTCTTGACCGAGACAACAAAACTTGACCTTGTCGAAAACCACCACCGATCCGGAGCTGTTTCCACAACTCTGCAACCTACACCATTTCTCCTCTCCCTCCGACCTCGACCTCATCCCCTTGTGCCACCATTGTCGCGCGTATTGACCCGGAGAATACGTACGCATGGCCGCCTCGGATAAGGATAACGACCAGTATGGCTTCAACGACGATGCCGGAGACGACCAGTCGGTCCTGTCTGTAAGTCACGCTTGCCACTCGCGTGACCCCCCGGCGGCATCGACTTGGCCGGTATCGTGGCCTGATCCAGTGCTGATAACATTCCCCCTCAGACCCGTGGCATAGAAGCATTCGGGCGCAAGGTCACCACCACCGCGAGCCATTTGATCGGCCCTCTTTCCGAGCAGAGTGGCAATGGCCACGGCCATTACCATGGCGCCCTTGCCGAGGTCCACAAACAGCTGCGCCGCCCGAATGTCCAGCGCAGCATGTTCTCGATGGCGAAGACCACCCCGACCGATTTGGTGCGCTCAAAGCTCTCCAAGACGGAGATCCAGCACCGCGCTTTGACGTACCTTCCCGATGAGCTCCTGGCCAACATTCCCGAGGGCGACAATTCCTTTTCTCTGTTCCAGGGCTTCAAAGCTAGCTTCCCCGAATTGACGGAAGAGGGCAGGAAGCACCGGAGGCGGGTTTCGAGGGGCAGGAAGTTGCTGGACGAGACGGCACATACCCCCGGCACACCCCAGGAGCTGCAAAATCTGAAAAAGGACAAGGCGTCGATGATGCACGAGCTCGAAATGCTAGGCGTTCGCAAGAACATGGCCAGCAGCGAGATTCGTGACATTGACAACAAGATTGCGAACTTGCACGGCATGCGACGGATTATTCTGGACAGGCTAGCGAATTTGGAGCAGGAAGAGACAATGCTGGAACACGATCGTAGGTGGAATCGCGGACGGCTTGCAGTCTTCAGCTAACCCATCACAGTTATGGACACCGAAGCTCGATTAGAAGAAGCGCAAGAGCTTTTCGACGAAGCGGAATCAATTGCTATCAACACACCTACAAAGACTGAGGAGGACCTTGCCGGCGATCAGGATGAGTCCGGTTTCATGTCGCAATCCGTCTACGAGAAGCTACCGTCCGCATCCAACACCCCGGCATCAAAACAGAAGAAAAAGGTTGTTCGCCGAAAATCTATGCCGATATTGCACGAGCATTTTGAACCGGGCACCGCCATCAGGGAAATTCGCGCCCACCAGGACACTATTACGGCTCTCGACTTTGACGCACCCTTCGGAACTATGGTTACCTCGGCTATGGACGATTCGATAAAGGTTTGGGATCTCAACGCGGGACGCTGCATCGGTTTGCTAGAAGGTCACACCGCATCCGTAAGAACGCTGCAGGTCGAAGACAACTTCTTGGTGACCGGTGGTATGGACGCTACAATTCGTCTGTGGGATCTTAGCAAGGCTCACTACGACCCTCACGGCAGCCAATTCGACGATGATGAAGATGGAATCGCATTCGAGAACCCCGATGACAGCCCGGTTGAGCCTCCTGCGGGAAGCATGAGGGACTGTCCTCTTTACACCTTGCAATCACATGTTGACGAAATCACGGCCCTTCACTTCAGAAACGATATTCTTGTGTCCGGCTCAGCAGACAAAACTCTGCGGCAGTGGGATCTTGAAAATGGTCGTTGCGTGCAAACTCTTGATGTCATGTGGGCAGCGGCTCAGGCCTCTGCCAACTTTGGCAGCGACAGCTCTTGGAGGCAGACGAGTAGAGCGCCCGCGCAGACGGCTCACTTTATTGGGGCTTTGCAGGTGTTTGAGACAGCTCTGGCCTGTGGTACCGCCGATGGCATGGTTCGTCTATGGGATTTGCGAAGCGGCCAGGTCCACCGAAGCTTGGTGGGGCACACTGGCCCGGTGACATGCTTGCAATTCGACGACGTTCATCTCGTTACCGGTAGCATGGACCGAAGCATTAGAGTAAGTTCTTCCATGATTGCAGAAGAGAACCCAGCTAACCAGACCAGATATGGGATCTTCGTACAGGATCTATCTACGATGCGTACGCATACGACAACGCAGTTACCAGCATGATGTTTGACGAGAGGAGGATCGTCAGTGCGGCGGGCGAGGACGTCGTGAAAGTGTACGATAAGGTGGAGGGCCGGCAGTGGGAGTGCGGCGCCGGCATTGCGGAAGCAGACGACAACAAGACGCCTGCCGTTGTAGAACGTGTACGTGTTAAGGACGGGTACCTGGTCGAGGGCCGTCAAGACGGTATTGTAGGAGTATGGACATGTTAGAGTATACAGAACCCCTTTCAGTACAGAGCGAATCAACGCAATACAACGAGATACGGCATTCACGAAGCTTCTGATAGTGTGTAAGACCGAAAGTCTCACAAATTGCATTTCAATTGACTTTTGCGTAACCAATTCTCCTTGATGTTTTGGTCGATGGGCTGAGGGGTGTAATGCTGTTGGCTGACAGTTCGTCCCATCTGGCACGAGCTCACCAGCACCTTCTTCAGACGGACCCGCTTGGCGCATCTCAAACCTGTTACATCTCACCACCAACACACTCATACACATACGCTGCGTCTCATCCACAAACTCACTTTTCACAACGAGAAAGGCATCATAACTTTCATTTATTTATTGAATGGCGTCGTCGGCCCCAGAAATATGAACACCTTCATCAACCCCGCCCTCATCAAAGGATGCGCAGACCTAGCCCTCGGGATGGCGTCCTCCCGCCCAGAGGACTTTGCCGCAGGTGACGACGAGACCTTGAAGGCAGACGGCGTCAATGCCCTCACCGAGGATCTTTTCACGCGCTACAGCAAGCTCGCGCGCCGCACGCTGGCCCTGGCCCATTCGCCTGCTGACGAAGAAGCGGAGGAGATGACCCGCCTGCTCGACGAGGAGCTGGAGAGGACGTATAAGCGGTTCTACGACTTTGTGTACGCGGAGCTGCCGTTTTGCTGGCGGGTGCTGTACACGGAGCTGAGCCTGATGAAGTTTGTCGTCCTGGTCACGACGGGCGCAGAGAAGATGAGTGATGATGCGGCGGGGGAAGAGTTACTGGATGAGCTGGTCGGGGTGCTGGACAAGGCTCTCATTCTCGCTGGCGGCGCGGGGAGGAGGAGGGGACGGAGGGTTATTGAAAGGTTGCTTTCGTACCTCGATGCCCCGACACAGGGTGCCGCGGCGTCGCTGCCGGAGACGTTCCCGACGGAGAGGGTCTTCACGCCGCCTGTGACGCGGCCGATCGAGGTCGTGGAGGGCTTGTCCATGGCGGGGTTCCAGCGGTATCTCGACTCGGCGGGGGACCTCGGGCCGGAGCCGGTGGTGCTGAGGGGGCTGCTGACGGAGTGGCCCGCCTTGTCAAGCCGGCCGTGGGACAGCCCGGCGTACCTGATGAGCAGGACGTGCGGCGGGCGGCGGCTGGTTCCCGTCGAGGTCGGACGGAGCTACGTCGACGAGGGGTGGACGCAGGAGCTCATCCCGTTCAAGGAGCTGCTGGGGCGGATTGCCGGCGAGAAGGAGAAGGGGAAGACGACGTATCTCGCGCAGCACGAGCTCTTCACGCAGCTCCCGTGCCTGCAGAACGACATCCTCACGCCGGACCACTGCTTCACCGCCCCGCCGCCGCACCCGCTCGACCACTCGAAAGACAAGCCGGAGCTGGCGCTGCCGCTGGTCAACGCGTGGTTTGGCCCGCCGGGGACGATCACGCCGCTGCACACGGACGGGTACCATAACCTGCTCTGCCAGGTCGTCGGGGCCAAGTACCTGCGGCTGTACGCGCCGCACGACTCCGAGGCGCTGTGTCCGCGGGGGGAGGAGGAGGTGGACATGTCGAACACGAGTGGGTTTGATGTTGGCGCCGTGGAGGGGTGGGACGAGGACGCGGAGGGGAGGGACGCGATTGAGTTGGAGGAGTTCCGGGGGCTGCGGCACTGGGACTACGTGCTTGAGAAGGGGGACGTGTTGTATATCCCGATGGGGTGGTGGCATTATGTGAGGAGTCTGAGTGTGAGTTTTAGTGTGAGTTTCTGGTGGAACGGGGATCACGTTGAGGCGGAAGGGTGAGATGGCGAGGATTTGGTTGATGTGGAAATTCAAAATGTCGAGGTAGATACCCCAGCATAAACGCTATGTACAACGCTGTCGATCCTATTTTTCGCTACCATTCAAAACCATTAAGTCCATGAAAGATGCCGCGCCTTTAGCTACCGCCCGTTTCCTCCGCCTCTTGAGCGGCGACTTCAGCCGACCCCTGTGCCTGCCGCCTCGCCTTCGCGCCCGCCTTGAGCTTGTCCCATTTGTCGCGGTACTTCTCCAGCGTGCGCGCCATCGTCTTGTTCTCCTTTTCCAGGGCTTCCATGCGTTCTATCGCGAGCGCGAGCTGCTCTTCGAGATCCTTGTTGCGTGCTCGCAACACCGCGTCACCTGCGCCGCTGCCTGCCCCGCCGAGTCCCGATGGCGATGCTGGCGGGCGGAGGCGCATGCTCTCCGCCAGAGCCATACTGGAGCTCTGGGCGCTGGCTTCGAAGGCATGGAGGCGCTTGCTGAGCTTGTCGAGCGTGTCTTTGAGCCACTCGTTTTCGAGACGATGTTCCTCGAGCCGATCGCGTTCGGAGCGGGTCCTGCCGCCTCGGCGCTTCGCACCGGGGGAGACCGGGGCGGAAGGCGTCTCGCGCGCGTCGACGAAGTCGTCCTCGTCGTCTTCTATAAGGCTGCCGCCGCCGTGGAGGGAGGCTTCCATACGACGCTTTTCCTTGTCGGCAAAGTTGAGAATGTTGGCGTAGGAGACCGTGTGGCCGCTCGTAGGGACAACGTAGAAGGAGTCGTTGGGGTTGTTTGCGGAGAGGGCGCGAAGAGTGTTACGGGAGTAGATCTTTGAGAGATCGGGTTCGGCGGTGGTCGCTGGCGATTTGAGCCTGTTGCGCTTGACGGGCGCTGGCTCGGGGACTTCGACTGGTTCAGGGGCGGGAGACTCTTCGGAGATCAAGGGCAGGCCGGCAAAGGCCAAGGGGGCCGAGAGACGGTTGATGATGCTGCCAAAGGTGTTGTAGAAGCGGGAGTATCCGTCGTCGCTGGCTGGAGAAGCGACTTCCTCCGTCTTCTTGGGCTCCTGGCGCTGCGGTTCAGCGTGCGTGGGCGGAATCCACGCCGGCTTTCCTGACTGGTCCAAGACGTTCTGCATCTTGGCCCTTGAACCCTCGCGTCTCGCCTGTCCCTCCATGTTGCCCGGGGCCTGGTCGTTCGTGACGCTGGGTGGAATAGGCTGGCTGCGGTTCCTGCCGCCCCTGATACCGCGCGCGGAAGCAAGGTTGCTTGCGATGGACGAGGTCATCTCGCGGCTGGGATAGCGGCGCGGCTGCGTCAGGGACGGAGGGTGCTTGGCCGTCGCAGCCGGGCTGCCGGCGGTCTCTGACTTGGTTGGCGCATCGTCCGAGGCGGAGATGCTGGTCGTCTCGGAGGCCTGCGACTCTGCCTTCTCGTCGATGGTGTCGACATTGGAGGCCTGGCTTGTGCGGCGGTCGAGGGGGATCTTGAGGAGCTCAGAGAGATGTTTGTGGTGTTGTTCCAGCAACCTCAGGGTACGCAGCGCTTCGAGGCTGGCGGTGGAACGAGCGGCGTTTGCGAATTCTCCCGCGGCGAGGGCATGTTCGTTGATTGCGACCGTAGTCTCGGACTGGTGCGTCGCGTTGGAGGCGGCTTTGGCATGGTCATGCGCCTAGATATCATGTTAGGACAGTTCATGGAGAGACATTATGATGCGAGGGGAAGGAGGCTACCTTGACCAGCGGCGACTCGTCCATGGTTGGAGCCGCGACGACGTGGACTGCCGATTGCGGATTTTGGGATGACGGGCAAACGTTTCGATCGGGCTTGTGTGAATACTTTTCTGGTAGCGTCGCATACACGGGACTCTAAGATCCGGAGGTCACGCGCCCGCCACGGAGCATCTAAAACGGTGGCAGGGAGGTCGTTCGGTGGAGGTGCCGATGGCGGGACAGCACTACAATGTACTGCTCGGTGGGTGTTCAACGGCGGGCTGGGATGTTGGGTGGTGTGGGTGGTTGGCGGTTGCGGTCACGGAGGATTTCCCCAGAGTTTCGCTAAGAAGCTTCCACCTCTTGCCTCCCCGCTTGTTCTTTTCTCGTGGTGGCAACCCCAACAGGTGCACTGAATGGGCTGGTGGAAGTGGCCCTGCTCAGTGCTGCGAGTGCTGCGTGCAGGAGCGGCAAGTCATTGCCGTGTGGCCACAATGGGAGAGGGGGCCTGGAGCGGCCGGTCAATGGAAAGTACCTGAGCGCAACAGGTACAGTACGTAAGCAAGGCAGGTCGCTGCCAACCTATGACGAGCAGCAAGGTTCACCCTCCCCACGTCACCAGCAAGTCCAGAGTCAATTCTGGTGGTGACATTTTCATGATGCAGTTTTGAATCAGATTATGAGTTTTAGCCGAAAAGCCATGTTGAAGCTAAGAGAGGCCGTCAATTTTCCACCGCGAGGCCGGTGCCTCCGGGGATCGTGGATTGACAGCGAAGACGTCGTTATGCGTACCACTGCATCGGTTCAACATGTCCTCGATTGACATCTGTCGACTGTTCTGCTTGCTTCTTGGCCAGCAAAGCATTCAAAGTCTAACCCTGAGATATGCCTGTGCCACCACTTGTCGCAGGGGGCTGAGCATCGGGGAAAACCATTGTGGCTGACTTTGAATCAGCCCAGCGTAAGAGCCTCTGAAGTGACGGCAGTCGCGTGCCTCTGAGTTTAGCCAGAGACATGGCAGAGACAGGTACATGCCATGCGCCTCGCCGGGCGACGGAGGATGGAAGGATTCTAACATTGTCCAATGCCCGGGGGCGCGGTGTCCTGTCTGTCTTGTCACAGGAGGACCTGGCCTATCACAAGAGTCGCAGTGGCCTCCCCAAGACACTATTCGCAACCTGCAGAGCCCCTGACGTAGTTACGGGTTCCTTAGCCAGCAGGTGATCCAAACAGGAAGCCCAGCGGCCACAGCAGGCCCCGATCGGGCCAGCCATCGAAACCCTCTTGGGATTTTCCATCTGCCAGACATGCATTCATCGACCATTATCGCCAGGAGGGACGAGGGATAACGTGGCGAGGTGGGATGAGCGTTGGGTGCATCGCTCCGAGGCTGCCGTGAGCCGCGGATGGCCGTCGATGAATTATTGATGGGAACCTAGGACGACGAGGATGATGCTCCGCGAGATATCAGTGTGACAGCGTGCTGCCACCTACTTGTACGAATACCCTACCTAACATTCCGGACTGTCCACTAATTAGGGTAAGTCGGCAGACCATGCAGGTGGGATGCGAGCGCACTCGGATAGAATGGAGTTCGCGAATGAGGTGAGATGCGACCCAGGCCAAGACGAAGGCGGTACATGATCTTGTTAAGGGGGCGAGAAAGCGGCGCTCTTCGAGAGATCCAACTCTACTGCGGTAGAGGATCCAGCCAAGCGAGTGCGAGGGGGGTATGCTACCGAGATGGTGGAATCTGCGCAGCCGCGCTCGCATTCTGAATGACCCAAGTAAGCGAAAAGAAGCTATTAAGAACAAAAATAGCAGCGACAACTCGGTCTGGCTGGGTGGAGGAAGGAATATTACCACCTGGAGGACCCATCGCAACATTGAAGTGGCGGTCGACGGCCCCAGATTCCCGATTCTTCCAGAATCCAGGCAGCTCGTAATAATGGACCACCGCAGGTTGGAGTGCACCCAGATGCACCAAAACACCAAATCGGACGGCGAATAACAATCGACATAATTCCATCGGGTACAACGGCATTGTGGCACAATAACACGCAGATGTCCGTCTCTGTGGAATACAGGTAGACATTATTCGACTTCGGAATTGTGACCCACTAACAGGAACTTGTACCTGCCTCCAGACTGTGACTACCTAGTGACTACTGATGCTGCTCCTCCCACTTTGGGCCAAGACGATTCTCCCGTAAGGTAGGGGCCGTTTACCCCGGCCCAGCCCGCCCGTACGAGGCATTTGCCTTCGCCTTCAGTGACGATGACGCTCGCGCGAGGAGAGAGCGCTCCGGCTTGGGTTGGCCAAGCTTCCATTGTAGCCGTACCGTACTCCGTAATACCTCGAGGTGGTCTGCTGCAGCGTCCACGTCTAGACTGGGCAGGTCGCAAGCGAGCAAACAAGGTGGGACCAGTCGTCTGGGCCACTGCCTTGCATTTGCACGAACCTACCCGGGTCTCTTCCAAGGTCATTCATAGATGAAGCCGCCCGTTGCTTCTTTTTAGGAACTCGAGATCCAGATTTCGATCCATGGATCAGGAACCTTCTCGGCCGGAAACCTGAATAGCTCTGCTCTGCCTCACCCGTTCCTTGCACTAATCGCCGCCTTCCTTGCACTGCAACATCACATCGAAACGACAACCTCGAATCAAACACATCAAACACCAAACAGACAACCCCGAACCCCTACCATATCGACCTTAATTTCGTTGGAATACCTTTATTTCCCTGTCGCCTCAGAGCATGATCTTCGAGCCCACTTGTCGGGCCCGGTGCGCGTATTGCTCCTGACAGCCTGTCAACTGCCAACTTCGGGACCTGCCTGCCTGTGCTGGAGTCTCTGGACCGAACCCGCGTACCCTCGTAAAGAGTACGACATTACGGTATTTACGAGCCCGCAGCTGAGGAGGAGGCGTGAGGATCAGGACCCAGATATCCAGCCTGCCGGACCAGCCAGCCAACCACGATGGATAGCACTGGGGAGAGTGGAGGGGCGCTGTCGAAATTGCTGCCAAAATCCATCGCAGCCAAGCGCCGGCGCAGGAAGCAGGAAGCGCGAGAGGAAGACGCAGCAGCAGCAACGGCGCAACTGCTGCTGGGAGTTAAGGGAGAAGATGTCACGGCCCCAGCAGACACAAGTTCGCTCTCAGCACTCTCGGCGGCACCACCACTAAAAGACGACTATTACGACGACGACGACGACGTCAGCCAGTCGTCCCATAGACGCGACAGCGGCTCCTACGTCCACGACCACGGGCATGACACGGACAGCCTCGCAAGAGACGGCTCGACAGGCATTCCCGACCCAGACCGCGACTACAGGCACAGCTACGATCGCGACTACGAACCCAGTCCCAGCGGTGCCAGCACCAACTACGCCCGCGACAACGCCAGCATGGTGTCCCTCGAGACACCCGAGGAGAAGTGAGTAGTGTGTCTGTTTCTGTCCCGTTGCTTGCTTGCTTCTTTTCCAGTTTCTTCACGAGTGTCAAGTCTCCAGATCTCGGGTCTCACTCTTGGCAGCCGTTGCTTGTCTGCGCATCCAATTGCTTATTCCCCTCCTCCTTGTCGTTCTTGTCCTCGTTCTCCCTCTCTCAGTCCCCCAATGCCCATCTCCAATCTCCAATCTCCAATCCTAATATCCAATCCCCCCCTTCCCTGTCTGTCTGATGCAACTCCGTGCGCTGCGGCAGCTTCATGTGCTGTTCTGCACCGGACCCTTTTGCATCTGCATCCGGACGCACTGATGCCGCATTTCATCTGCCTGGCAAGGCCACGTCTCTCGCGTGGCGCATTCTAAAAAAGTCGTCGTGGGAGGCTCCATCGAGTGACGAGGCGGATTGCTACGCTGTTCCGCTCTGCTGGACGAACCTACTGACGGCGCGGCGCGGCCTGGCCTCCTCTCCTCGCGTTCCCTCGCTTTCACTCCTCCCCCTACTAGTCCGCATCCCCCCTAAGCTTTTAGGGGAATGGCAGGGGAGGAGAGTGGGAGAGTGATGAGGGGAGAGCATTCAGGGAGCGATCAGTCGGCAGGTTGGGGGGCGCATCCCGGCCTTGACAGTCTGACTGGCCCGGGGTTGGGGCTGGCCGCCGCCGCCGCGCCCTTTTCCATTGCTGGACTGGAGCATGGCTGGAGCTTGGTCTCAGCTCCTCATCCACTCTCTGCGGCAATCGCCGTATGACGCTGCCTGGGGGTCCCATCAGCACACAGCACCGAGTGCACCAGCACCAGCAAGTGAGGTGTGTGTGTGTGCCAGGCCAGGCCAGTCCAGTCTCAGCAAATCGCTGTGTTCCTGACGAGTGTTCCATTTCCTTTTCAAGCGAGGGGCGGACACAGGGCCGTCCATGTTTCTCCTGCCTCCTCCGTTTCGCATCTTACTGCTGCCTCCATCTATTACTTTACCTCGCATCTCACCTCGATCGAGGCTCCTCGTCCATGATTGTACCCAACTAACTTAACCTTCTCTTCCCCCCCCTTCGCTAGATCCTCCCGCCCAAATGCTATCTCGACGCATCCTTCGCAAATAGGCTACTTGACAACTTCTTCCCCGATCGTTCAGGCAACTCACTTGCCTGAACCCCAAGCGCAGATACTGGACGAACAACTGTCAGAGATCGCCTCGGCGCGATCCACATCCAACAACTCAGCCAAGCGGACGCAATCGGCCGAATCCACAGATTCGTCCCTGCGCTCCAAACGCAGCTTTACCAGTCTTGTGCCCCCCAAGAAAAACACAACACGGTCACCTTCACCCGTCGGCCGCCTCAGGGGAGTTTTCAAGTCAAAAAAGACTCCGAGTGCCACCACTAGTCCCGAGAGGAGTGCGGGCGGTGACGACACTGACACCGACCGAGACATTGGACGCGGAGTAGCCTACCGAGGCCGAGCTGCAGCTTCAACATCTGACCTCACCACCACCACAAGGTCCTTTGACTTCACCGACGCGCCACCCGTCCCACCTTTGCCGATAGTACAAGCGCCACAACCAACTCCCGCAAACAAGACGAATGCATCCTCCCGTGTAACGACGACATCTCACTCTCCTGAGCGACGCCGCTCCAGAGCCTCCACAAACAACTCTGTCAAGATCGACACCAACGTCCCCTCGACCCCGCCCCAGCCCGAGAAAGGCACTCCCGTCATCGTCAACACGCCGCCGACCCCGACCGACCGCAGCGCTCCCTCCGCACACTCCTCACCGGGGCCCGGTCCGCAGCCCGCCGTTGATGCAGCTGCGACCGCCTCAGGCAACACGAATGGTGGCTCCGCCCAGGGTAACATGATTGCTCACCGCAGGGGCAGATCAAACTCTGGTAGTATTGGGCCTAGCAAGCTCTCCAACATCACAAACGCTCCTTTGACACCCATCCCCGACGTAAACTCGGCCAGCAATCCAGGGACCCCCGCTCCAGGAGGCGGCTTTTTTTCCTCGGTATTCTCAGCCGCGCAGAACGCTGCGACCCAACTTAGCAGCGCAGTACAGAACACAGGCATCGGGCCAACTCCTCCTAAGAACAAGACGACCCAAAGACCGCCCGATATCAAGATCGAAGACCATCCCGAGGTCGAACCTCCCCTGCCGTCCCTCACAGGATCCGCCATGGAGAAGGAACCCGCCGTCAAGACCATGGGGTCTGGCGAGCTGAGCCTCAGCCAACTAGGAATAACAGATACAGGAAGCGTCGCCGGTACGCCCGTCACGTCGAAGTTCCCCGACACCACCGATTCGCGTTCTAGGTCCGAATCAGCGCCCACCGATGCGGCTTACGTAGCTGCGACCCGAGACCTTGGACCGGACGACGGCCGACAGCCCTCTACGAGACCCCAATCCTTGCACGATCCGGGAAGCGGCGGCGACCGCACGCCGCCATCGAGCAGCATCAATGAAGATAGGAATTCGGGAATCCAACGGAGTGGAAGCATTCGAAGCGCCATTGGACGCCATCGTAAACGGGGAAGTTCCGCCGTGTCTGGAGGTACGGCAACTACAATTGGCGCTGCCATTGCTGCGGCTAACGCGTCTCTCGCTCATCCTCAAGCCAACGCAAGCGTCCCGAAACTCACCGGATTCGCTGTCGCAAGCAAGAAGCGCAACCGCGATTTCCACGCACTGTTCAAAAGTGTGCCCGATGACGATTACCTCATAGAAGATTACAGCTGTGCCTTGCAGCGCGAGATTCTCGCGCACGGCCGCCTATACGTATCCGAAGGTCACCTGTGCTTCAGCAGCAACATCCTCGGTTGGTCGACCACTCTCGTCATGAGCTTTGACGAGATCGTAAGCGTCGAGAAGCGGAGCACGGCCCTAGTTTTCAAGAACGGACTCATGATATCGACCTTGCATGCGAAACACATCTTTGCTAGTTTCACAAGTAGAGACTCCACCTATGACCTAATTGTCAACATCTGGAAACTTGGTCACCCGACCCTGAAGAGCTCTCTGAACGGAGTGCAGCTGGAGGGTACTGGCGGTGATAAAACGGAGAAGGTTGACGCGGATGTAGTGGCCCCGGAAGTAGAAGACGCGAGTCTGTCCGACGCAAGCGAGGAAGACAGCGAGTCAGGCGACGACGACGACGTCTACGATGAAGACGACGATAACGAAGACCTCCAGGAAGTAACACAGCCAACAGACATGAATCCCGAACCCGAGACAGAGAAGACCGTCTCACGGAAGGTGTCTGGTGCAGGCGGTGCTAATGGCGCGCTTTCCGATGTCGTTAAGGACGCTGTGGGTGTACCCAGCACCAACGATGACTTCCCTGGCCCAGCCACTCATGCACCGACGGACTGTGGAGACTCAGGCACGCATTATGAGAAGGTTGTTGGTGACGATGTCATTCCCGCGCCCATCGGCAAGGTGTACAACCTGCTCTTCGGTCCAGCATCGGTCACTTGGATGTCCAAGTGGCTCACCGTTGAGGCCAAGTGCACTGAGTTGACGATGGAGGATAAGAAGGGTTTGACGCTGGAGAACAAGTCACGCTTCTTCAGTTACATCAAGCCTTTGAACGGAGCTATTGGTCCGAGGCAAACCAAGTGTCTTGTCACTGAGACCTTGGAGAGCCTGGATTTTGAAAAGTCCATCAACCTGAACGTTGTCACTCAAACACCCGACGTCCCCAGCGGCAACATTTTCAGTGTCAAGACGAAGTATTGCCTGTCTTGGGCTGAGAACAACTCCACCCGAGTCCAGACCAACTGCACCATCGAATGGACGGGCAAGAGCTGGTTGAAGGGTAGGTGTCAAGAGAAGGTCTGATTCTACGAGTGCTCAGCTAACAAATTCCAGGCCCAATTGAGAAGGGTGCAAACGAAGGTCAGACCGCTTACTGCAAGGATCTCTTTGCCAGTCTGAAGTCGGCCGTGTCGTCGAAGGCTCGTGCTGGAGGAGCAGGAGGCGGTGCTACCAAGGGCAAGAAGAGGGGCAAGAAGGGCAAGGCTACAGGCTCATCGACAGACGTCGAAGACGAGCAAGTCCGTCCGAAGAATATTCCCAAAAAGGATTGGGGACCGTTGGAGCCCGTACGTGGCATCCTGGAGCCGATCCTCGATATCGTCAAGCCGCTTATAACAGGCAACATGATGTACGGCCTCCTGGTTGGACTTTTGGTGGCTACTTGGTTCGGCTTTGGGCTGCCAGGAAGGCAACCGTCGAGCGATATGCGCATGTACGGCTATCCCGACCGCGTCGCTGCGTACGATGAGATGTGGAGGCGTGAGGAGAGTGAGCTGTGGGAGTGGCTTGAGGAGCGTGTCGGATTGGAGAGGTTACATGACCCCAACATCTCGACACGCAAGAGAGCGATGGAGCCCATCACGGTTGAGGAGAGGGTGAGAGAAGATCGCATGGATGAGAGGGAGATTGAGGAAGCGATCAAAGTCACGGAGGAGAAGTTAAAGGTGTTGAAGGGGGTGATGGACAAGAAGAAGACCACAGTCGGCTGAGGAAATACCCAGGAACGGGAGGCAAAAGTGCAGCAAGTCAAGTACCGACACTACACACCGTGTTATTCTTTTTTGTTATTATTGTAGCATATTCATTAGCGCCGCCAACGAGCAAACAGGGCTTGACTGGGATAGCATCTGCTGCGAATTCAATTTGTCACATAACTTACCATCTGCATTATCTTTATTTGACACTGGCTGGCCTGCGCTCGAGTGAACTTACAGCCAGACAGCAGTCACGTCAGTCCTACTTTTTTTGGTTCCTTCCTCATGTACCTTAGGTTAAAGTGCCTTCCGCGGCCCGCCTGCTCCTGCCACGAGTTATCAAGACTCATTAGAGAGGAAGCAGCAACGGTTAATACAGGGTCAAGCTCCTTAGCCTTGCCTTCCTCTTCTCATTTAAGGCGCCACCTGCCTGCAGATTCTGCGGTTTACACCTAACTACCATGCGGGATAACCCAGTGCCAGGCAAGGCAGATTTTCTAGACACAATACCCTCCCTTCTCCCCTGGACTCGTCCTCCCAACTCTCCCCTTTACCCTCATTTCAATTTCATCAACTACTTCCTGTTCCAGTATCTATCGTTCGTTCAACATTTAAGAACCCAGTCTCAACTTCGATTAGGCACTTCCACGCGTCCACATTCAGTCTGTCATTTACGTCTCAGTCCCCAAGGAACAGGAAGCTGCCACTATGACAGGCAGCAACCAGCCTGCACCCATGGCTTCCCTCGGGGATGACGGGTACGCGCGTACCATCGACCGACTTCGCGAGATTGGCGTGGCAGACCATGTAGCGCTGCCGCAGCTTGTGGTCGTCGGTGATCAGTCGTCTGGCAAGAGCTCCGTTCTCGAGAGCGTCACGGGCTTCGCCTTCCCTCGCGCGCCTGAGCTCTGCACAAGATACGCGACCCAGATAACCTGCCGCCGCGATGACTTCGACAATGTGGTCATCAGCATCATTCCTGCGGCGGACTCCAGCAACGCCCGAAAGGAGAAGCTCTTGGGTTTCCGGTGCTCGGCCGGCAAGAGCAAAGTGAACCTGGCCAATGCCTTCAGTGAGGTACATGTCACGACAGCATCAGTTGTGGGATTTTCTGACACTTTTGAACACAGGCAAACAAGGTTATGGGAATTCGAGAGAAGGCCGTTTCCGGCTTTGGCGATGGGACCGCGACCTTCGCAGAAGACACGCTGAAAATCGAGATCAGTGGGCCTACTGTAAGTGTTCTTATCTCCAGAAGCTTGAGAGCAAGTCTGAGCCTTCATACAGCAAAACCATCTGACCGTGATCGATGTGCCTGGCATCTTCAGGACGGCGACCTCTGGATGGACCACAGACGAGGACATTGTCTTGGTCAAGAACTTGGTCCAGAGCTACATGAAAAGCCCGAGAACCATCATACTCGCTGTAGTTCCCTGCAACGTCGACATCGCCACCCAAGAAATCCTCACCATGGCACAAGCATTCGACTCTGAGGGCATCCGGACGATGGGTGTTCTCACAAAGCCTGATCTTGCAACCGAGCGGGCAATGCAGCAAATTGTCTGCGAGCTCATCGAAGGGAAGAGATTTCCACTGCGCCTCGGGTACTGCGTCGTGAAGAATCGCGGTTCAGACGATGACAAGTCAACTTTAAGTGAAAGGAACTCCTCTGAAAAGGCGTTTTTCTCCGTAGCACCTTGGTCGAGACTTCGATGCACCAAGAGAGTCGGCGTCGAATGCTTGAGTCTTCGCCTCCGCCATCTCCTGCGGGATGTCTCAAAGAAGGAATTTAAGAATGTTGCGATTGAAGTCGAGCGGCAGCTCTGGACGACAAGCAAGGCATTAGAGGCGATGGGCCCGCCAAGAGAAAGGCCTGAGAGTCAGCGGCGATACTTGGGACAGCTGAGCTCAGACTTCCAGGATGTTGTCCGCCGAGCCCGGGATGGCCACTACAGCGGGATGGAGATATTCGACAACAACCAACAGCTCCGACTGATTACTAACGTCGTCGCTCTTCAGGAGACCTTCAACGACACCTTTGAGAAACGCGGCCATACCAGACTTTTTGAGGGAACCCAGCGACAGCGAATTTCCGGAACCCCTCCTGTCTTGCAAATACTCGAGTCCTGCCAAGGAAGCGAGATGGAAGGCATCATGCAGGATTTGCATGGAATCTTGAGAGAGCTCAATTACGGATGCCCTGAACCTCGCAAGGATTCTTTACTGGTACAAATTGAGATCGCCTTCAGAAGAACCCGTGGACCCGAGCTTGGAACGGTAAGGTTGATCTTCTCTTGTGGTTCTTACCTGTTTTTCTATTACAAACGTCCCCCCAACTACCGCCGTATGACGTCGTGAATGACGTCGTGAATTATCTATAGATTCCCTTTTCTTATGTGACTTTGTGGCTGACGCAAAGAACAGTTTGGTGGTTCTGTCCTCGGCGAGGTCTTCAGAGAGCAAGCCAGAAGCTGGGCGCCTCTGGTTCTTCAACATACTAGCCGAGCGATTGTGCTTGTTCACATGTTCATCACCCGGCTGCTTGCTCTGAAGTTTCCTGATGTCACCTTTCGTGCCAACATATTCAACAGACTTCTCAAAGAGAAGCTTAGAGCGGCTTACCAACGTGCAATCAACCATGTCGAGTTTCTCATTGACGTCGAGTTGAACGGCCAGCCCTACACGTTGAACCACTACTTCAACAGCAACCTCCAAGCAGCCCAGGCTTCGAGGCTCAAGCAAACACTCCAGAAGGTCATCGGCAGCAAAGAGTCCAGCCTAGACGATACCCAGGAGTCGGGGTGGTGGGTTACGGAAGAGATGCTTTCCAAACTGACCCAAGATCGCTCGAACGCCGAACAGGTCCGGGTCGACATTCACGATATCCTGTTCAGCTACTACAAGGTTGCGCGCAAGCGCTTTATGGATGTCATCTGCCAGCAGGTTGTATTCCACTTTCTTCTCGACGCTAAAGATGGCCCTCTTCAGACTTTTTGCCCTGATCTTATCATGGGCCTCGAAGACAGCCAGCTGCGGCTGATTGCGGGAGAAGATTCCAGCACCAGAGAAGCGCGCCAGAATCTCACCCAAAACATTGAGGTCTTGAGAACTGCGGCGGAGGAGTTGAGGAATGGTTCCTCGTGAGCAATTGCCGGCAAGCATGCTTTCGCAATGTCTGGAAAGGATGTGTCACTTTGGCCAGAATGTACAAAGATGGGCGGTAGGATGACGAGGGACACCTGGATTTGCTGATGACGAACTTTGAGTATGGCTGGAAGTGAAGGGATACCAAGCTGGAAGAAGACACCCGTAGTAAGTAGTGTACGTGAAAAATGATGGCTAGCTTGACAGAGACATTCAGTAGCTGCGAAACGTAATGTGTTGTTTTTAACACGGAAGGAGTGTTGCTTCAGGGAACCGATCTTTTCTGGAACAGTGTATTGGAAATTAGTTCTTATTTTGTCATTTCTATATTTTCTAAATCGAAATATCCAGACCCTTGGCCATTCCGTGTAGCATCTCATACAAAGCCCACGCACCGGGATCGGGCAACTCCTGGCCAGCCGCGTCGCCAACATACGTCGCGCGTCCAAACCTCGCCTTCAGATACCTCGTGGCCTCCGCCTTCTCAGCAGCGACCTTGACGGCAGTGGCGAAGTCAGTCGTCGCAGCAAAGCTGTCGGTGAACGGGATCAGGACGTCCATGACGGTGCGATCGCCTTCCCTCGCCGGAGTGTGGGACTTGAGCGACTCGACGGCCGTGGCCAGAGACTTGGAGTATAGCGCGGCTGATGGGGCGGCACCGGCGGCTGCGGCGTTTGTTCTGAGAGATGAAGAGTACGCGGACAGGAGGATGCCGAGGATGGCGCCCAGGGTGCCGCCCATGTCGTCGACGGCGCCGATGGTGGACTCGAGGAAGGAGAGCAGGGAGCCGCTCTTGGCGACGCCGTTGTCAAGGTTGCGGAGGAGCGACTCGCAGACGCCCTTGACGGCCTCACCGCAGTCGCCGTCGCCCATAACCATGTCCCACTCTGTCAGCTTCGGCTCGGCGGCGATGGCGCTCTCACAGCCTGACCTGATAGACTTCTCGAGCAGGGCGGGGTCGACGTTGATCTGAACGTCGGACTTGGTTGAGGAGGCGTTCGCGTCGGTCTGATTTACCATGACGTTGGTCTGCTTGGCGTCGGCGGAGGGGATGATGATGTTCGGCCACGAGACGGCTGTGGTCTTGCGATCGAGGAGGCCCAGCAACTCTGCCGCGCTCGTGCTCGACTGTCTAGCCGCAGCCGAGATGTTGACCAGCGAGATGGAGAATCCGGGGGCGTTGAGCGACGTCTCGAACGCGCCGGTGAGCGTGCGGCAGGGTGTGATGTTCCATGTTGATGCCAGCTGCGTCTGGACCTCGTCCGTCAGCGCGCCGAGCTCGAGGACCGAGAGGCCGCCATAGTTGTTGATGAGCAGCGTGACCTCGTCGCCGGTCTCGAACTTTACGAACGCGCGCTCGGGGTCTGTTGGGTCGCAGACGAGCTTCAGCATCTTGTCCACGAGGTCCTTCACGGACGGGAAGGGGGTCAGCAGCTGCTGGGCGGGCTCGTTGTGGATGCCGGCGCCGAGGGCGCAGGCGTCGGCGGCGAGGGACTGGAACTGTCTGCCGGGGACGTGGCAGTGGTCCAGGGCGGAGCCTATTGAGACGGTCTGGTCGTTTACTGCTCTGCCGATGTCTACGCAGCGCTCGAAGGAGTATTTTTCGGCTGCTGCTGCAGATAGGATCTTCATGGCTATGTAACTTGGTCAGTATGCCGTCTTTCTGACATAGACTTCGGGACCTACTGAAAATGTGACCCGGCATTCCTCTCCTGCCGACCCTGCTGCTCCTACTCCTGCCGATCGAGACATCATCTGTGGCGGGGAGAACAACGACATTGTCGGATAGACCAGCAGCCTTTGCCCTCTCGGCAGCAAGACCAAAGTGCAGACGGTCGCCGGTGTAGTTTGTGATGAGGAGAATCGTGCCGGCGGTCGACGGCGCCAGTCTCATGGCCTCGAGGACCTGCTTCGTGCTCGGCGACGCAAAGATGTCACCGCAGGCGACGGCCGACAGAAGACCCTCGCCGACGAACCCACTCCACGCTGGCTCGTGACCGGAGCCGCCTCCGCCGATGATGCTCACCGTCGAAGGGTCGTTCTGGGCGTTCGCGACGACGCGCTCGGCCTCGCTTAGCACGAGGTGAGGGTTCGCCGAGACGAGAGCACGGAGCGCTCTCGGGACGAGCGTGTTCGCCGCCGTATCGGGGAAGTAGTGCTTGGTCGCCATCTTTTCGACAGGGGGTATCTTTTGCGAAGAAGAGAGGAATTGACCAAAAAAGCAATCAGCTCTACGCCTTTCGCCGGAGACGGCTGCAACTCCTGGATATAAGGAGCGCGCGCATGCGAGTGGTGCTGTGCGCGGATATCGAAGTGCGTGTCATCGTTGCGAGGTCTCGCATTGCCATCCCACGATCCATCAGGAAGCAATCCATCGAAGGCTTCAACGCGCCTCGAGCCATGCCATTTCTCTGCGAATTCCCATGACCGTTCGTCTCTGGAACATCGCGTTTGCGACTTGGATGGCTTAGTCCGCGGGTAATGACAGCCGTGTCAGGATGTGGTCGCGAGACGCGGTCTGTTCATGTGGGAGGAAAGAAGGAATAGTTTTAGAGAGAAGGGCCCCCAAGCCGCGGTCACCCAAAAAGAAGAAAAGAGGAAGGCCCTTGTCCCCGCACCACGCGAGACTTCCAAGTTTTCTGCCTTTTCTGGGGATGGTTCGTTTTCCCCGCGCGCATTCCCGATCAGAGCCTTTCAACCCCCTTGACAGACCCCACAACCGAATTGAGACCACGACAGCAACCGGACAAGTGCCGACATGCCCATCTCGAAAACTTGGGGACGAACAGAGACAGTCGGTCAAGATCCGCCGCCCTCCCACGGAAATAACCGCCATCCACCACCACCTCCAGTGTCTTGTTCTCTCCAGGTCACGAGTTGAGGGGCCCCGCTCCTCCGCCCCAGAACCCGGAGACTCCACGTCGAGAATTCAGAAAGTCACCCAGCGTCGTGTACCTTACCCGCGACCTGACAACGTTGGCCGCGGAGACTGAAACCGTAGATCCCCAAGTCTTGTTTCGTCAATCTCAAGCTCATCACCCGCTGAGAGCCGCGTCTCGCAGTCTTTATGCCGGCCACCTGCAGCTAACCACCTTACACTAGCGAGGGTTTCTGCACGCCTGCATTCTGCTGCTCTCCACGGCGCCTAGGTTGTCTGCATTACCGGGACACCACAAACCTGAGCGTGTCTTTCGGCCTGCCTGCTGGCCTGCCATGACCTCATGGACGGAAGACGGGATGCAGCCGCTCCTCCAAAGAAGCGCATCAGAAAGCCCCGCGGTCGCGGCTTGCGCACCAAGACGGGCTGGTAAGTTCAACTCATCAAGTCCCACCCTTTTCACCTGCCCGACCCTCCTCGGCCCGGGACCAACATGTTGATATCGGAACCTCAGCTTGACCTGCCGCGAGCGGCACAAAAAATGCGACGAAAAACAGCCGGTATGCGGCCCATGCAGCATCTCCTCCCGGAACTGTGTTTTCCCCCAGCTCTCTCAGGATGCCGCCGGCAGACAGGCGAGCCCATCCGTCTCCGTCGCTGAGCCCCCGCGGACGCGTTACCGCCGCGTCGTGGAGACTCAAACTCAGTCTCGCGTAGATGAGGCTACCCGCAACGACTCAGCGGCGGTGCCCGAGTCGGTGACCACACCCGCGTCACTCGTTACGCAGGTCACCGTCACCGCCGCCGCCGCCGCCCCTCCGGTCACCCAGCCGGTATCCGACTTCAACCCGACTCAGCCGCCGTACGTAACCCAGCCGCCCACCTCGGCGGGTCTCACCCTCGGAGATGTCAACGTGTACAGCTACTCCCCCGAGACGGTCGCATCCGAGCTGTGGACTACCGACCTGGCCTCGACCCGATGGCTCGGTCTGCTCGCTACGGACGCCGCCCAAGCAGACAGCGGCTTCTCGCTGGCTCCCAGTCCCGCGCCGGAGGACGAGGACCAGCGACGCGCCGCGGCTGTGCATGGCCCGCCTGATGCGGGCAAACTCTCGTCTCGGCTGCGCGAGGTCTCGGACCCGGAGCGGAAGACTTGGCAAGCTGATCGGGCCATCACGCTGACCAACCACGAGGCTGTTCTCTTCCGGCATTTCACGGAGCGATCGTCGCGTTGGCTGGATTTCTTGGATCCTCACAAGCTCTTCTCCACTTATGCGGTGCGCTTAGCCTTGCGGAATGCAGGTCTCATGAATGCCATCTTGGCTCTGTCTGCCAAGCATCTCTCCAAGTTGGAGGGGGCGCTGTCGGGGTTGGCTCCGGCCGACGCGAGTCCTGCGCACGATTCCGGCGGGGAGTGGATTCGGTACTACTACGAGACCCTCCGCTACGTCCAAGAGGCCCTGGCTTACACCAGTTACACAAATTCGGAAGAACTGAACGCTACGGCTCTTATCATCTCGGCGTATGAGATGCTGGACGAGTCTGATGGCAGGGGCAACTGGCAAAGACACCTCAAGGGCGTCTTCTGGATCCAGCGGTCTCAGGATGTCAATGGCTGCTCTGGTGGTCTGCGACAGGCCGTCTGGTGGGCCTGGCTTCGGCAAGATATTTGGGCGGCCTTTCGTGAGAAAAGACGCTGTTTAAGCTTTTGGGCGCCGTATAAAGACTACTCTGAACTAGACCAGCACGAGCTGGCCCACATGGCCATCTACTTGCTGTCGCAGGCTGTGAACTTCTGCGCAGACTCTCGAATGGCCGAGACCTCGCCTCTGTCGGATGCGGCAGCAAGCAGAGTACGTGCTGGCAACGAGCTGCTCGCGAACTTGGAGCGATGGAGGGCATACCTGGGCAGCGAGTTCAAACCGCTTCCAACATCAACAGACCATTGCGACGTCTTTGCTCCCCTCTGGGTGCACCCGCCCCAGTTCGGCGTGGCGCTGCAAGCCTACTGCTTCGCGCGGATACTCATCCTTCTGCACAGCCCGATGCCATCCGGATTCAACGGATTTCTGAAAATGCAGAGGTCCCTTTCCGAGGCCGTTGACATGATTTGCGGCATAGCTATGGAGCTTAAAGACGAAGGCTGCCAGGTTCTGTCGGCACAGTGCCTTTACGGGGCGGGGCTCTGCGTTCAAGAACCGGTCAAGAGAGAAAAGATTCTGTCCTTGATGGAGCAGAGCGAAGAGAGGGTCGGCTGGACGCCAATGGCAACCTGGCGGGACGACCTCAGACAGGCGTGGATAGATGCTGACGTGAAGAGCCCAGATGCTACCCGTTGACGAATTGACGACGCATCATGCCGTGTAACAACATATACCCATGTTTATTTGGTATCATGATTCTCTATTATCTTTTTTCGTGTTTCCAAAAGCAAAAGCAAATACAAAAGTTCAGACTGATTATGCCTTGCCTGCAGATTTGCATACATCCATCTGCCACTCCGTCAGCTTCTGTGCCTCCTTGACACCCTCCTCCATCAATGTCGTCAGACTGAGGGTGGGCGCGTTCTTCTTAAGGTGGACGAGGTAGTCGTCCAGAACCAGCTTGTTGACATTAACCTTTGACACGCCGCCACGGATGCACTGCTGCATCAGGTCCTCGGGGAAGTCGTTCGTTCCGTGGAGCACGATGCGCACTCTACCAGCCGCCTTGGCGCGGATCTTCTCTAGCCTGCATTTCGACTTTTGTCAGCCACTGGACCACAAACCGGGAACCAAAAGGAACGGCGCGCGAAGAGTCAGTCTCACCTGTCAAACTCCAAAACGGGACCTCTGGCACCGTACTCGCCGTGCACGTTGCCAAAAGCGGGCGCCAAAAAGTCGATCCCCGTCGCTACGAAATCCTCCACCTGCTCCTCCGTTGTTAAAGCCCCCTCCAGATCCGCGGTATCAGCAATACCGTCCTCGCCGCCCTCGATACGTCCCGGCTCCGCCTCCGTGGCGATACCGCGCGCGTGGCAATACGCCACGAGCTCCTTCGTCTTGGCCAGGTTCTCCTCCATCTCGTAGTGGCTCATGTCGACCATGATAGAGTCGAAGGGCAGGTTATCGGCCGCGTGACGGATCATGGCCTCGTCCTGGGCGTGGTCGAGGTGGATGGCGACGGGGACGGAGGCGGCCTTGGCGGCGAGCGCGGCGGCGCGCACCAGGAGGCCGTCAGAGAAAGTGATGGCCCAAGGGAAGACCTGGATGATGAGCGGGCTGCGCTTCGCCTCGGCGGCGCGGATGAAGGAGAGGATGTTTTCGATGTTGTAGGCGATGGGCGCGACGACGCCGTACTGGCCCTCCTCGGCCGCCTTGAGGATCTGGTAGGTCTTGTTTTTGGTCGGGTCCCACGCCATTGTTGCGAATTTTGAAAGCTGGTGATCAAGGATATGTCACTGTGTAAGTTGCGGCAGGAGGGAGGGCGATTGACGAGACGGTCAAGGGCAGTTGAAGACTGTATTCACACGTAGCACGATCGAAGAAGCATCAAAGCCGCTTTCTAATAATGGAGATATTACTGGCAGTTCCCATAAAGGGCGCCTTTAACCACCGGACCTTTCCCATCAGGAGCTCCAAGCTACCCCTCCATCCGATCTGACCCCGCGACGACTTACTCCCCGCGTCGCGTCTTCCTCTTTGTCATGGGCCATGGATGTGGCTTGCAATCCTCCAAGCTGAATCGCGGGGGTGTTAGCTGGGAGGCACGACACGCGGTCACCGCACCCGCATTAGCCCCGCCGGGCCGCGATGCGCGGACTCCTGATCCCTGTCCCGACGAGGTGGGTAGCATTCTGCACCGGGGCATCATCAATGGCGCTCCGTGACGAGCATCGTGCATGCTGGAGGTGTACATCTCAGAGAGGGCGTATACCGCGTATGTCGCCATAAAGATGCGCGAGCCTAGGGAAGGGCAGTCAGAAAAGGCCAAAAAGCCTAGTCCTGACGAACTGATCTGAACAGAGCAGCCTGCCAACACAACCCAACCACCCTTTCTACTCTATCCCATAAACAAACCCCCTGTCAAAATGCCCGGTCTGCGCATTGCCCTCGGCGGCGACGAAGCCGGCTTCAACTACAAGGCCACCATCACGGCCGACCTGAACAAGGACCCGCGCGTGGCCTCCGTCGTCGACGTCGGCCCGAGCTCCGAGTCCGACAAGACGGCGTACTCGACGTACGCCATCACGGCCGCCGAGAAGGTCGCCAGCGGCGAGGTCGACCGCGCCATCCTCATTTGCGGCACCGGCC